GCTCGTTTAGATCCCTGTTATCTTCATGTGTAGTTTGATGATCAGGAGGAGGATGCGCGGTTTACAACGGGTTAGGCTCATAAAAAATCCAGTCGTCCGAAACTGGGGCGTTCAGGATCGTCGGGGCGTCACCTCCTTCCCAAATATGGTTGATGTGACGTTCGATGGATTTGCCATTGTCTAGACGTACCAAGTAACGTGATTTGGAAAGTACGGCGGTCATGTAACCTAGTTCGCGCTTGTTGTTGAGAGCGACAACGACTCTATCTCCAAGGTTGAGTATTCTTGAGCGGGCTCCATGTTGCTTTGTGAATTGTTCTTGCATGTTTCGTTGTTTGTTTATGAAGTCCGACATCAAAGGGGTTGAAGATGCAGGTGATTTTGAAGATAATTTTGAGAATGGCGAAGAGATTCGCCTGCCAAAGAAGAGTTCTGCGGGGATTTGCCGTCAGGAGCAGAGGTGCACGGTGTATATCTGTAACTGTACATGAAATCTTGTAGTTCCGCTTTCCAATTCGAAGGATTTCTTGCGATGGCTCTTTTAACTGAATCAACCATCCTTTCCGCTTGACCGTTAGATTGTGGCCGCAAGGATATGAGTGATTTGCATGTCTTTACAGAATCTCGCGAAAAGGTCTGCCGTAAACTGAGTTCCATGGTCGCTAATGAGAACTTCTGGAGGGCCGTATCTTGAGAAGATTTCACGGCAAAGTTAGACTGTACGAGCGGCGGAGATAGTAGAGGTGATTCCGACGTCGATGAATTTAGAATAGGCATCTACGAAGATCAGCAGGTATTTGCCATCGATAGGTCCTGCGAAGTCCAAGTGTAGGCGTTCAAGAGGCCTGGAGGGGATTGGCCATGGGGATATCGGAACTTTGACCGGAAATTTCCGTGTTAATGCGCAAGGGTCGCAACGTTTCACAAGATGTTCTATGTCCTCGGAAAGTTTAGGCCAATAAACGTATTCACATGCGAGTTGTTTCATCCTTCTGATTCCGGGATGGCCTTTGTGGAGAGATGAGAGGATGCTGGATTGCATACTTTGCGGGATGACTACTCTGTCTCCTAAGAGTAGGGTGTCATCTACGATAGTCAGACAATCCGCACGTTTTTTGTAGTGTTCTACTATTGGTGAGCAGGCGATTGGAAATTTGTTGTCCTGGATGGCCTTCATGACTGTTTTGAGGTCTGGGTCTAGGCCGGTGGCGGTTTTTAGTTTATGACGAAAATCTTTGCCGAATTTATCGATGGAGAGATCTCTAATTTGCTGGATTTCGTTATCCACCGCGTGAATGCCAGCCACTTGAAGTTCTTCGGAATTATCTTGACGGAATTTTTCGATTAAGCGGGATAGAGCGTCGGCTTGGCCGAAATCTTGTGTGCTAACATATTCGATTTTAAAGTCGTATCTTAGTAACCTGATGGCCCAGCGTTTTAGACGAGCTGCTGTGGTGGGCTTGAGACCTTTGGTATTTTCAGTTTGAAGTAGAGCTACCAGAGGTTTATGATCCGTTTGGAGGATAAACTCCCTTCCCCAGAGGAATTTGTGAAAACGTTCGATTGCAGTAACCAATGCAATGGCTTCCTTTTCCAACTGGGAGTAATTGCGTTAAAAGTCCGTGAGGCTTTGAGACATGTGATACACGGCGTGTTCGCGTCCCTGAGAATCTCGTTGTATAAGTACATTTCCGATGCCCGTGGAACATGCGTCGGCCGCCACTACGAGCGTTTTCGACGGATCGAAATGCTCTAAAAGTAGAGGACTGAGGAGGATTTTTTTAACACGTAGGAAGGCTGCGTCGTGGTGAGAGTTCCACGCCCAAGGCTGATTCTTTCGTGTTAGGTCCTCTAGCGGTTTCTTAATTTGATGCAGATGCGGTATGAACTTTCCGTAGTGATTTATCATCCCCAGGAAAGATTGGACTTCTGCGACGCATGATGTTTTGGGCAGTTTGGCAACAGCACGTGTGGCTTCTGGATCGGCCGAAATACCGGAACCGTTTATGATGGCGCCGAGGTATTTGATTTCTCGTAGTGCGAGGCGACATTTCTCCGGCTTTAATTTCCAACCTATTTCTTCCAGACGATGGAGGGTTTTTCGCAAACAACTGTCGTGTTCTTGACGAGTAGAGCCCATGACTACCACGTTGTCGATGTACGCGTAGACGCCATCTAAGCCGGATAATGTGAAATTCATTGCTTGCTGAAAGATGGTCGGTGCGGTCTTGATGCCGAAAGGGAGGCGTTTGAACCTGTAAAGACCTTTAGGGGTGGTGATCGCAGTGACGTCTCGGTGATCTTTGGCGACCTCTATCTGTAGGAAAGCGTCACTGAGATCTAGAACACTAAAATAGCTATTGCCGTTTAATTTAGACATAATAAGATCTATATTGGGTAAAGGGTACGAGTTTCCTCTAAGGGCGTTGTTTACACCCGTGGAATAGTCGGCGCACAATCTGATTTTGCCATCCGGTTTTTTTACAATAACGATAGGAGTGCTCCAGTCGGATAAGTGCACTCGTTCGATAATGTCAAGAGATTCTAGGCGTGAGATTTCCTTTTCAAGAGATTTTTCCATAGCGTATGGGATCTGTCTGCAAGAGGTTTGCTTGGGGACGGCGTTCTCGGATAATGTAAATTTAGCCTGGAAGTTTTTGCATTGCCCGAGGCCGGGCGAGAAAAGTTTTGGAAACTCGTTCACGATTTGATTGCGAAACACTTGATTCGATTGAGGATCGGTAGGAGAATCAAGCACTTTGTTGTTTTTGTTAACCGCACATTGATTGATTCCGTCGTGGTGGAGCTTACGGCACTTGTCGAGGGACATGTTCCATAGATTGAGTGTGTCTATTGCGTTTAAGCCGAGTAGGTTAAGGCGCGACGACATCTATGAATGCTTCTCCCTCACGACCGGCTGCGCGTATTTTACACTTGAATCTACCGATCGTTTTTAATGAATCACCGCCGGCGTGTTCCACTGGTTTGTGAGTGTGAAGGGTCGGACTTCCTAGACGGATCCATATGTCTTTACCGATGGTCGTGACGTCCGATCCGCTGTCGTGTTAGAGATTCACTATTTTGCCCAGCATCGTAGTAGGAATGTAAATGCGACGGCGTTTATCGATTGACGTTATCGATTGAATCACCGGATTGTCGTTGTAATCACTTTCGCTGTAATCACTTTCGCTGTAATCACTTTCCGCGTCGTTATCGACCGATAGATGATCAACCTTAGCGCTCGAGCGACACACTTTTGCGATATGGCCTTTCTTGGAATACTTAGAACATGTCGCGTCGTGGAAAGGGCACTTTGAGCGGAGGTGCGCGTTTCCGCACCCGTTGCACTTAGCGGACACAGTAGGTTGCGCTATTGCACTATTTGCGTTATCCGAATGCTTATTTATAGTATCGAGTGGCGGTTGCTTCTGATATTTCTTTTTTACGTTGGCGCACAGAGCCAGTGTTGACGAAACCACGGTACTAGTGGGATTTTCGAGCTTTTTCATATTCGAGGCCACATTCATGTAAGCCTCGAGTTCCGTAGCGATATCTTTGAGAGTAGCCTCTTGGTTTTTTTCTACGACGCGAAGCGCTATCTTTTTCAGATCGTCGTTGTCCCGCGAGAAGCAGAGAGATTGCAAGAGTAATAAGACTCTGAGGTTGTCATCTGTAAGCTTAGAGCGCTCGAATTCCGAAGCAAGACGATTGATCTTGTCGATATGTTCCGAGATAGGTATTGATTTGTCGTACCTATGGTTTAATATCTCGATGCGACGTCGTGTAAGAGATATTTTTTCACGAAAGAGATTATTCAAAATGAGGATGAGGTCTGACAGTTTCATTTTGGCCGGGTTCGTAGGCGCGACGTGATTCACCAGTCTGTCGAACTCTAATTGACCCAGTTTGTCCAGCAGCAGGCGAGTACGCATTTCTGGCGGAAGAACTTCCGCTTCGGAAATGAGTGTATACTCGTGTCGTAGCAACCATTTTTCGAAGGATCTTTTTTCGTCCCCGACGCCGGTGTCGAAGACGAATTTTCCGATGCAAGCACTGAGTTGATTGTACGTGTCGGTCGTTGTAGAGACGGGGTTACTATTTTGAGCTTGCTCACGACGTAATTGAAGTTGTAGTAGGCTGTTGATTGCCTCCGTGAGTGCTTGGATGTCCGTTATCGACATGGCGGCCGGAAGAATTTGCTCTTCGTCTCGGTTTGGAAAAACCACGTAGCTCACAGGTTTTCACTTTAAGCCGCAGCGCCAATTATTGAGTTTGTGCGCGACCGAGTTCCGGGGGGGACTTGAGGGTTAGCACGTAATGACTCGTAGTACTAGAATCCTATTCAGCTTTATTTATCTCGTACAGAGGATCGTACTCGACGCGATCGTAGCATGAACTGCCCAGAGGGGCGCGAGCCTGCCTCGCGACCGCCCTCTCGCGGCGGGCGCGTGACGACAGCGGGTCCTAACAATTTTTTATTCCACAAATGTATTAACATTTAAAAATGTTTGTTCCCCTATGTCTCTCTCTCTCTCTCTCTTTCTCTCTTTCGCGAAAATATTTATAAGGATTTAATTTTGTATAATTTTTATTCTGTTTCCATGCAGTATATAAAGAATCAGTAAATACAAGAACATATTAAATATATAACATATAACATATTACCCAATCAGCACACAATATTTTTTAAATGTTTTTTAAATGTTTTTTAAATGTTTTTTTTCATTTCCTGAACTCATTTTGGAAAAATATTTATTTAACATTTATTTAATATTTTTTTTTATTAAATATTTGTTTAAAATAATGATTTCTAAAAAACGTTTTTTAAACGTTTATTTAATATTTTTTAAATATTTATTTAACGTTAATTTTACATTTAAAATAATGATTTGAGTATACATTTTT